CTCCATAAGTCAAACTCCCGTGCCACCCAACAACAGGGATCGTCCATAAATCAAACTCCCGTGCCACCCAACGACAGGGATCCTCCATAAGTCAAACTCCCGTGCCACCCAAGAACAGGGATCGTCCATAAATCAAACTCCCGTGCCACCCAACGACAGGGATCCTCCATAAGTCAAACTCCCGTGCCACCCAACAACAGGGATCGTCCATAAATCAAACTCCCGTGCCACCCAACAACAGGGATCGTCCATAAGTCAAACTCCCGTGCCACCCAACAACAGGGATCCTCTATAAGTCAAACTCCCGTGCCACCCAACGACAGGGATCCTCCATAAGTCAAACTCCCGTGCCACCCAACAACAGGGATCGTCCATAAGTCAAACTCCCGTGCCACCCAACAACAGGGATTCCGCTACATCTTTTTATTCTACAGTTTAAACACTACATAAAATACAAGAACAAAATATGGGAAAAACACGTGGGTCCAAGAACTCTTGACAGAAATGAATAAAAACCCTATAACCCGAACACTTTCGAAAGGTGGACCTATCTTGTTGAGGGGAAAACTGATATATGTAGAATATCCGAGATTCAAACAGTCCTTCAGCAAGTCTTGCGAGTTGGTCTCTGATTATTGGCCTGCATCAAACTTCATCCAAAACCTGTTATTTTAAATCGACCGCCTAGGCGCTGACCAAATGCAGACAGATTGTCCGTACAATAAATAACTATTATTATCAAAGTTAACGCATGCACTTCACTTGCTAGTCACGCGTCACGTGCAGAAGAAGAAATTGACGTCTTCCAAATGAGGTGAGCACGTGGTCTCGCGTCGCTGTATTGATGGAAATGTTTTGTTGGTTTTTTTTCTATAAGGTCCTAAACCAACACCAGAAAATGCTAGTAATCTTATAAAGTGTGGAAAATAGTTTGTAAATAACTATAATTAAATAACAACTTAAAGGAATTACACCCAGATAGCGCTGATTGGGTTACGAACCCCCGAGACTCGCCACAGAAACGTTTGATGAAATTACAAGTTAGCATGATTATACGAGACTATAATGAAAAAAGACTGAATAGAAGGATAAGTTATTATAGGTGTATAAGTAGAATTTATTTTATAGGTTGTTCAAAACACTTTTTTTTTCTTTTTAATTGTTTTTATTTTGGATAAATTACCATTTATCTTAAAATATATTTACATTTACGATTAACGAGAGAAAGACGTGTTCCTGAAAACACTCGCAAATAAATCCGACGTTTGTTTCTTGTTATTTTTCTTAAATCATGAAACTGAAGTGAATCTGAAGGGATAACGCCTCCTGGCGGGTTAGCGGTAAGTCCACGGACTTATAACGCTTAAACGCTGCGGGATTCTATTCCCCAAAGTTAACAGAGTGCATACGGCCCACTGTGTAGCTTTGCGCTAAAAATAAAACAACATTTGTCCCCCTGGTGAGTCAGTAGTAAGTTTACGGGCCTCAATGCTTAAATCCAGGGTTCGATACCCGTGGTGGGCAGATCACAGATAGCCCATTGTGTAGTTTTGTGCATAATTACAAACAAAACTGAAGTTTGCGACGCCCCCTACATCCACACATGCGAATGCTTACCAAACATAGGACGCTCGTAATGTGTTTACTTTAAATGTGATGCGGTTCCTGACAAGTTAGTGTTTAGTGGGTAAGTTTCGTGTGCTTTCTTTAGTGAAACTCTCGAGGACATAACAGATTGACAGAACAAGGTCACACCCAGTTGAATATTACCTATACATCCCCTAACTTTGTATATATCCCTTACAGCCAATTCCTGTAATAGTCGAGACACCCATCTTCAGAGGCCCCGTATATATACACTATAAAAACAATACTAGGTCCAATTTACAGACAAACTGTGAAGTCTGTAGAAGTCAGTTATCACAGAACAAATAAACAAGACACATTTCGTATAAAGTATCCTGGAGTATCAACCTACTGGATATAAAGTGTCTTCACTTGTTCATCTTAACGAAAGTGTCCTTATCTCTTTATCCTACTGGATATAAAGTGTCTTCACTTGTTCGTCTTAATGAAACTGTCCTTATATCCTTATCCTACTGGATATAAAGTGTCTTCATCTTAATGAAAGTGTCCTTATATCTTTATCTTACTAGATATAAAGTGTCTTCACTTGTTCATCTTAATGAAAGTGTCCTTATCTCTTTATCCTACTGGATATAAAGTGTCTTCACTTGTTCGTCTTAATGAAACTGTCCTTATATCCTTATCCTACTGGATATAAAGTGTCTTCATCTT